GGTTTGTGCTTTAGGATTCATTGTTTAATTTTGTAGTCGGTTTAAGTTGGTCTAAAAAATTATGCTGCATTAACCTTGTACGGTATTATATTTGTATTATAGTTTATTACACTTTATCCGATTATATATCTAGTTCTCCATTTCAGCCTATTTATCTGTCCTACTCTTTATCTGTCCTTTTGATTGTGTAGTCTCCTTGCCAGCTTCTCTTTCTCATCTCTCTATGCCTCCCTCTCTCTCTCTGTTATTATCTTACCAGTCCTTCTAATCTTCTGTTAGATTTGTCGTATTGTCTTCTGCTACGCGATCGTTCTCCTTCAATCCGTTTCAATCTCTTCTCTTGTTTCTCTTCTTTTCTTTGATCATATCCTTGATTATTTATTGTGAATCGCCATTTATATGTATATGTTATGCTTTTGAATGTATCTTTTGTAAATTCAATTTGTTTCAGCCTCTGGCTGCTATTTGAATGTTTTTTAATCAATAAACCATATCAAATCAAATCAAATCAAAACAACACGGAATGTATGCAATTTGCATTCTGACTATTGAAATATAATTATTTGTCACAAGGCAATTAACAAAGATTTGTTTACATTTAATACGATAATGGCCTATTATTGGATTGAAATGAAAAAGAAGTTGTTTGCATTGTTATGCCATAATTGAGGAATAATTGTTCAATAACTGTGTGAGTGAAACTATAGAAGGTCATTAAAGGACACCTCACCCCCAGAAATAATTATAATTACCTTAGTTATTCTAAGTGATTTATTGTATTCTTGCATGCCTACTAACATACAAGATTCCCAACCGAAGTGTATGAGAGTGGTATAAACCTGGCATAATGTAAAGTGTCTCAGCACAACATGGGCATCTCCACTTTGTTGATAATGTGATGTACTATGCGAAGTTGTTTATCAAGTAAATGTATTTAAAATGTATGGATGCTACTTTTCCATGTGTGTGTGGTGATGAAATATTTCATTTACCTGTACTATAATTGTCAGAATGCAAATTCCATAAATTGTTGTTGCTCTTCTGGGGTGAATATTTCACATTTTATAGATGAAGTAGATTTGCCAACTGTTATATTTGAGTATTTTGATATAAATGAGTTACAATTGTTCTTTTGTTATATATTTTTCACCAAATATTATTTTTACCTTTCTTAGCTATGATTTTCCCCTCATTGAAAAAAAAAGGTTTTATTATTGAATTAAAAAAGGCTTTTCAATTATCACTGATTAGAGCGTGGTGCATGATACATGTACAAGTTCACCTGGTACCTCACATTATCAAGAAAATGGCACCGCACATGTCATGGTAAAAGACATTACATCATAACAAGAATATCTTCATATCTCATGTACATTTTCAGAAGGAATATTGTACGTCAATAGACAGGGTCAAAACTCATCTTTCAGCATACCTACACTTCTTCTTTGGGATGAGGTTTCCTTTAAAGTGACTCAGTAACATTGTTGAAAGTTGATGAAAAGAATGCATAATTTGTGTATGAAAAGTTTCTTATCATATTTCACCTACTGTACTAACCCTCTATTAACATGCTAAAAATCCTGAAAAAATTCTCTGACCACAAAGATATTTATGTTTTTCTTTGAACGCGTCACTGTGCGACACTCTCTAACAGTAAATTCTCCCAACCATTTTTGAATTTTTCCAACCGTTTTTTCATGAAAATAAGACATAAGACAGGCTTTCAAAAATCTTTCAACACTTAGATATCTGGAATGGTATATAAAGCCAAAATTATTGCTTTGTGACGATTTGCATTCAACTGAAATGTAATTAAATTGTAATAATGTAGTTGGGAGAATTAAGGAATCGATCAGATCAGTTTTTCCTAATTGTTGTCATTCATAATGGTCTGTTTTTCACTCAAACTTTCAGATTATTTTTAATTGTACATATAGCATTAAAGTCACTACCTGAGCATGATTTTATCTCATCTGAACAATGTTACCTAATACCAAGTCCCTTGTTATTATGCTCTGGTTCCTCTTTGGTTTCCTGCTTTTTGGTTTCCTCTCTACAAGTTCATTTTAATCACTCATGCATGAAATATGCATCATATAAATGGCATCAAATGAAAGAGGAGGATCTCAGCTTTCCAAACATGGGTCATTTATTAATTATAAATGTGAATAAGTGATGATAAAAAATCGATAATTCTCGGTTTCGTTTTTTCTGGGACGCACTGTATATATATATATATATATATATATATATAGGACACAAGGTAGATAAATAAAAACACCGGAGAAGTGAATATTCCACTGACGTTTCGGGCATAGCCCTTTATCGAAGTGATTCAAGCATGAACAACAATATACAAAATCAAAAATATATAGGCGATGCTTGGTAGTCAAGATGCAAAGGCGCGTGAGAGTACGCGAAAGAAGAGAAAAAGAGATAGAGAAACGTCACAAAGCTCAAAAGTTGGACCATTGTGACGTGAGAAAATAGGAGAAAATTAGAAATATATCAACATCTCTAGGACCGTTAAAGAACTCATACATGCAGGAGCTTTACCCTCGAATGCTGCCAATCTCATCCAAGATAACCCGCAATGTGCTACTTTCTATCTCCTCCCGAAGATCCACAAAGTTGATAATCCTGGACGTCCTATCGTTTCCACCATCAACTGCCCTACAGAGCTAATTAGCCAGTATTTAGACAGCATTATTTCCCCTCTGGTCACCAAGCTTCCTACTTATGTGAAGGACTCATCAGATGCCATTCGGCTCTTCAAAGATTTCAACTTCCAAGGGGATGAACCTCATCGTCTACTTTTCTCCATGGATGTTTCGTCACTGTATACTAACATTCCAACAGATGACGGTTTGAAGGCTATCAAACATTTCCTTCAACGCTATCCAAGCAGAGACAGACCCAGCGACGCTACTCTACTTAGATTGGCGGAGCTCGTCCTCACTTTGTCGTCTTTCAACTTTGACGGTGAATGCTACTCACAGAAGAAGGGCGTTGCCATGGGCACCAAGATGGGACCAGCTTATGCATGCCTCTTCGTTGGGCACATCGAGGAGCAAATGCTACAGAATTATCAACATCCTAAACCGGTTCTCCTGAAGCGTTACATCGACGATTACGTAGGCGTGTTCACGAGCACTAGAGACGAACTAGAGAGGTTCATCCAGTACGTGAATAGTTATCATCGATCACTGCGTTTCACTCATGACATCTCAGATGAGTCTATAACATTTCTCGATGTTACAGTCAGTGTGGAGGGTGACACTCTTGCGACTGATATTCACTAACCCTCTTGTACTCACGTACAACCATACATCTCAGCGAATTGCTAAGGCCGTACGTGAAAACATCAACATCCTCCGGGCTGACGAGACGACTCTTAGTGTATTTGGGGCCAACCCATTCATCACGGCGTACCGGAGGGGGAAGAACATCAAAAACGAACTTGTCTGCTCAAGACTTCCCAGTCTGATACCCCACAGCATCACTAATCCTGGTACCACTCGGTGTAAGCGTCCTCGTTGCAAGACCTGCGCCCATGTCTCATCCCATGATGTGGTGGGCCCCAGAGGAACTTGGCATATCAGAGGAGAATTCACATGTACCACCACTAATGTCATTTACGGATTGACATGTACCCGCTGTTCCATGGTGTACATCGGGGAGACAAAGAGACGCCTAGCCGATAGAATCACGGAGCATCTGCGTTCCATACGCCTGAAGACAGCCGGACTACCTGTAGCTCACCACTTCAACATCGGAGATCATAATGCTGATGACCTTCAAGTATGTGTGCTGAAATCTTGCCGAGATGAGAAAGAAAGGAAGCTGATGGAGGAGAGGATAATCTTCAAACTTGGCACTCTCCACCCGGACGGGATGAACGCCACTTTCAGATCTTTCCCTAACTCACACTGAGCTTTGTTGAACTTTAATATCTTTATTACGTCATAATGCTTTTTCAATTGCTTATTTTTCTTTCTGTGCGCCTCTTCTTTTCCTTTTCTTTTGCTTTCCGCGTATCTCCCCTGGAGATACGCTCTCCTAACGCTCCCTATATTTCTAATTTTCTCCTATTTTCTCACGTCACAATGGTCCAACTTTTGAGCTTTGTGACGTTTCTCTATCTCTTTTTCTCTTCTTTCGCGTACTCTCACGCGCCTTTGCATCTTGACTACCAAGCGTCGCCTATATATTTTTGATTTTGTATATTGTTGTTCATGCTTGAATCACTTCGATAAAGGGCTATGCCCGAAACGTCAGTGGAATATTCACTTCTCCGGTGTTTTTATTTATCTACCTTGTGTCCTATTCATTTTATGCACCGACGCAGAACCATTTATTTTTACATTATATATATATATATATATATATATATATATATATATGTCAATATTCTCTGTCAATACTCAGTTTTGAGCAACAAATATATCTATAAAATAAAGAGTATATATAATTTCCTACATTTGAATCCTCTGAGGTTTTACAGATTCATAATTTCTCTCTTTTTTAGAGTTAAACAACAAAACATATCAGATGCTCTCATGTACATGTAGGTCCATTTTATGTGTAAGAAAAATATTTTCATTATATCGATAGGATAGCAGGTGTATTACCTGACCTTTTAAAAGTTATCTTAATAAAATATCATACACTCTATGAAAATTTATCAAAATAGGCCCTATCAGTCCTTACCTCATTTGTATAATTGCATTGGGTATTCCATAAAAAATGTTTCTTCCCAATTCATTCATCATTTATACAACAAACGGTTAATGTATATCTCTAAACACAGTATTTTGTATAAAGCCATGTACATCAAATCCTTTTACATTATGTATTTTCTCTTTTTGCTATAATTTTCGGAGACTATTATGAAATAAACTGCACATGTGCCTCAAACTACTTTGTCCAGAGATCCTTCAATTAATTAAATTAAAACACTTACACATTTAAAAGTGGGGAAAAAAAGTGGGAAAACTCACTCTCATCTGTAGAGCAAAGGTATTTGAGGAAGACACTCCCAGTGCTGATATTTGTTGCTGGAGCCGATTCCAAACCGCCTCTTCGTTGATACCTAAAATGCCCCATAAAAAAACAAAAATGAATTCTCAGAGATAGTGCTTTGATAGACATAAACAACAACGGGTCATGCTCGTTTAGTGCAATGAGATATCATAATATGATACTTGAATAGAAGCACTTTATAAGATGATGACGTGGATCCTAATCAAATGATTGGTTGAAAGCATACGCGTGACCAGGCATTTATTTTGCCCAACACGTAATTTGGATAATGACCGGTCATTATCAAATTCTAATGACCAGTCATTAGTAAAATCATGTTATAAAACATCATTTTATATAACAAATTAAAAAAATATTACACAGAATTTTGTTCGGACATCAGTAAAATTACCCACACTCGGTACCTTCAAAACAGTCCAATTAGACTGTTCCACAGGTACCTCGTGTTGGTAATTCTTACTAATGCCCTCATTGCAATGTATTATTGTACATTATATACGGTACCTCACTTTAAAAATCTAGCCATCTGAGTGGTCAAAATTGGAGTCGTGATTTTAGCCATGCTCCGCCAACTAGTCAATAGTCTTTTAAAAAGCACCGCACTTTTCAAAAGACTATTGACTGGTAGGCGGGTATGAGTACTGCGATCCCCTTTGGTTTACATGTTGATTAACTTACTTTGTGCGGAGCGCGACTACCATACATTTTTTTTTTGCGATTAATTTGGTTGCTACTAACACAGCGCAGACGACCGCCGATCTCGATTGTAGCTAGGCCTAGATCTACATGAAATGACAAGATGACGCCCCTTTGGAAATATGGAGATGAACCTGCCCTTTCATATGACACCTCATTTTTTGAGTATCACCTTCAAGTTCAGGATCACAAGCAATAAAGGTTTGCATCTTGATTTGGAAATAATTTTTTTAATGCACGTAGATCTAGACTGCATAGGGATATATGCGTGCAATCTCAATGGCAAGGATTTTAGCACACAGACTGGAGTGGTGCGCAATCAGACACCCTATTAAGACTACCGGTACATGTAGTTCTCAATAGTAACAAACTTGATTACCATTATTGGTAACTTTTATAAATGTAATGCTTCCTGGGAGAAATTTCAATAGTTTAAACATATTCATGAATAATGAATATTAATAAGCTTTGGGTATTTGTTTCTAGTTCATCGCGACTGTGTCATGGACCAGTGATGGCCTGGTGGTAGAGTCGCTGCCCGGCAAGCAGTAGATGGCAGGTTCAAATCCTGCTGGTTCCAAGATTTTTTCTGACTTGTTTTTCAATTACAGATCGATCAATCAATCTTATTTACTGGGTGTAAGCCACAAATATGTTTAAACCATTATTGGTAAGTCACACATGTATTCTATGACCCTTTTCGGTAAATAAAAGATAGTTGATGACTGTTTTAATATTTGAGGCATAGTTGTTTTTATACACTTGTAGGCTCTCGGGGAGGTTACATCGTGCTATCACCCCTCGGCACGCCTCAGGGCGATAGCACGATGTAACCTCCCCTTGAGCGTATAAAAAGAAATATGTCTCTCATAGCAATCACTATTCCTATATCATTCCTCTTGACTAGTCATAACTTAAGGTAAAAAAGGAAATAATATAACAAAGATAGTTTCTTGCACGGTCACTCTCTACAAATTCAGAGACATGAATTATTTTAAAGCTTTTTGATTTTTAAACAATTTCCAGCAAGATAACACAAGATAGATTGAACCAGTAAGATCACAGCTGTAGAGAGCCAGAAGGGTATGAACTATAGAGCTATACATGTATGTACCATAATGCATTTCTGGCTCTCACAGTCAATAGGCAAGATTACATACCAGACTAACATTTTCTATTACATTCTAAATACAGTGTGTGTGTGTATATATATATATATATATAGGGCGGTCATTTTCATAATCTATACAGATTAAAGATACACAAAGTAAAATCATTGAATAACGAAAGTACATAATGTGGTATGAATAGGTTATTACAAATGTAAAAAACTTTTGAATTAAAAGTACCCCGTACATGAATCTTAAAGGAAAATGGAATATCTACTCTCTTATTCTCTTTGATCCTGAACTAATCCTATTTCACTATTGTTATATTTTTTGATCATTTTCTTTACAAATTACATTTAGAGGGGGATAGTGCTCGTCTTTGAAAGATCTAAGAAAAACCATTTCATTAGTAATTGCTTTCCTCTATAAACAAATTTGGGGTTATACAGTACATGGGAAACTAATTTAAAATATTCCATCTGAAAGTAAACATTTAAAAAAGTAGTCTACCTTAAAATCTGCAATTCTTTTGATAACAAATACTCTTAAGGACACTGTCGGTACGATGTATACAAAATTGTGAATACATGTAAATCCATTGCATGTAATACAAGTTCATGCTGAACTGATTAATTGTCCAATAAAGGGTTGAATCTTTATTTATAGACCTGATGAGAAGGCTGTGGAAACTATTGAATAAAGAGATAACGGTAGAAATGACTAGTGATTGAAAGGTCAGTTTGTTTGTTTCAATAGACCAAAACTCATTTCCTAATCAGAGAATTCCTTTGATATTATCTGGAGTTCATGACCAGCGAAGGTCCTCTGAGATAAACAAACTCATCCATGTTATAAAAAGTCAATGAAAACACATTGCTTATTAAAGTTATTAGGACTATTCACAAACAAGAAAATTACATTTAAACCACGAATGAATCTACTTTGGGGTCCCGGCCCCCCCCCCCCACTCAGTGTTATTTAGGGTACGCATATGCTTGTTCCCTCTTTTTGAAAGCACCCCCTATCTGAGGACTGCCAACATTTCCGAACCCCCCTTTCGCGGGCTTTTCGCGAGCTTTTCCTGCCTTGGAGACCCCCCTAAATTCAGAAAAATGCTCAATGTACCCCCCTAAATTCGGAATAATTTCTCAGGAGTCCAAAGAGATGAAAGAAAAAAAAGAAAAAACACCCCCTTCTTAAAGAATTCTCTGGGTGAAAAGTTAATACACCCCCTTTTTTTACAATTCTCGGGCCGGATATAGTGGCATGAAAAGTACCCATTTACCTGACATTTTGGTAACACGCATGGGGTCCGTCTGTCTCGGAGTGGAGGGGCCGGGTTCGGGGTCGATCCACATATATAAACTGTTTTTAAAAAATGGCAGCCGAGTATTCGAATACGAAAAATTGTACTCGAGTAGTTGTCAACAGTGCGAGTACTCGAGTACTCATCGCATCCTTAGTAACGGAATAAATTCTTTTTGTATAGAAACATATTTGCAATAATTATATTTAAGGTGCATGTATGACTGAAAAGTTTCTTTTGGGATATTGATAATTTCTGATTTTTTTTTTTAGTACAGAGAAAATGGGAGAAGACCTTGCAGGATAAGTCACAGTGTTGCCAATTTTCGTTTGATTGAACGCAAATTCAAAATTTATAACTTTTTTTATTTTTATCAGAATTTGCTCAAAATTTACACTGACCTGCTTCTTCTCATTTTTCTGCTTCTATTAAAAACAAATTAATATCAGGGTGGACTTCCCCTTTAAGAAACATTTCACATTAAAGCTACTGCCGCTTAAGCTATCGTCACAACCCCCAAAAGTAGCCTGCCAGGCGGCTGGGCGGCGAGTTTTTAGCCAATTTCGCCTGGGCACCGAGCAGCGGCCGCTTGGGCACCGCTTGTTTATAGGGCATTGCTCGATCGCCGCTGAAGTTTTAGCCTGGAGTTAAAATTTGGCAGCGCCTGGTCACTTTTCACTCATCACCAAAATTACGCTCGGTGCTCGCCGCTCGGGCACTAACCTAATCGAGCGTTTACCGTCAAACGATTTAGGTAAAATAATCGAAACCGCTAGGTCAAATGCTGCCGAGCGGTCGCCGCCCAGTCACTGCCCGGTCGCCGCTGGGAGATCAGTCGGTCACTGGTCAGCAAGTTCAAAATCGGCCGGCAGCCTTTGACCTTGCAGCTTCGATTTTTACCTAAAACGCTTGATTAGGTCAGTGCCCGGGCAGCCACCGCCCGTGCTTCGAGAGTCACTGGTCACTGGCGGGACGCTGCTCGGAGAAGCTCCCCAGGCATCACTGGGGCTCTACAACCTGCTCGACATCTCCAAAAATCGTTCGGCGATGCCTAAATTCAAGCATTGACCAAGCACGCTACAAAGTGGTTGGTCACCGCCACTCTGAGTTATTCTTTGCCATTTAAGTTGAAAATCATTGAAAAGACAACATATCTTTAGATGTGTTCTTAATAAATTTAATAGCAAAATCCCAGATACACTGGTATTGCCATACAAGAGGATTAATTTCCAATGGATTCCAGGAGATAATTACAATCCATTTGACCTTGCTCTATTGATAACCTTTCGGACTGATTTTTCAACATCTATTTTAAAACAGCTATGTCTGCATTCAAATGTTAAGGGTCCTTTCAGTCCTCATCAGCTCTTCCTTGGCAGACAGGTGCATCGACATGCCAAGGAATCGTCCAGTGACCACCATAGCCATGATTCTATCATACCTCAGTGCGGTAGTCAGTATACCTGTCCATTACATTGTCTCCCTGAATATTATGAAGATGTTAGTAAACTGAAAGAATAATTCCCCATCATGAATAAAAATGCATTATATTTTTAGAATGTGGTGTATGTATTCCTTTTTAATAACTCTTTGGGGATAGAGACTGAGAGTTTGGGATGAAGGTGTAATTTTGATAAGATACTGGTATGAACGGGGTATAGAACACATGTAAAGTGCGTGGGTGTGTGATAGATTGGTGTGAAGCTGAGTGGGGGGTGGTTGAGGGAGACTAGGTGATATAGGGAGAATAAAAAAATAGTGTATGGGAGAGAAAGAGATAAAAAGAGTTATGGAGGCAGACATCATCGGCGATGTAGTAGAAATATGACATCGTTTCAGAACAGAGTTATTATGATGGCAATAGGGGACCTAGCTCCCATCCCCTTTGCACTGGGAACAAATGGTTTATTGGAACAGTAGGGTAATTTAGGGGTGCTGCTCCCAAGTCAGCTGAAGGGGCAGGTATCCCATTCAAATAAATTTAGGTCTTCTTCACATAAAAATTATTCCTACAATGTTTAGCCGGAATCCATCCTAATATTTTGATATGAAATCATATCTACACTTCATGATCTATCAGAATATGAAAAGAAATATTAGGGTAACCATGCATTTTGAAGAAATATCCTTGATTCCAATGGAACATATCCTTTAAACAATTTGTTGACAGTTTTCAAGATTTTAGTGCTCGTGCATGCATTTTACAATTTGCTGTGCTCACATTGCGTATTATCGTATTTCACTGTTATTAGATGCTGCTTGTAAGTGTTGGCTTGCATGGTGATGTAGATATACAGTAGGCTTGCGGGTGCACCATGTGAGAGAGAGAGAGAGAGGATTGAGGAGTCCTGAAAAGGACTCTGACTCAGTAATCTTTCTTGGGGGTGTGTAGTCCTGAAAAGAAAGATAACAAACAGTCTTTTTCAGGACTACACACCCCCAAGAAAGATTACCAAGTCAAAGTCCTTTTCAGGACTCCTCAATCCCCCCTCTCTCTCTCACATGGTGCACCCGCAAGCCTACTGTATATTTCACTGTTATTATCGTGCTACATACGATAACATGGGTCTGGTTGGCATCTCTGAAGAGGTGATATGCAAGATCTGATGCAGGTCACCTAAAAAGACAACTTTCAAATGTTCCATAGTATCAAATTCAAACAAGCTAGGAAGAAAAGCTCTTGAGACAGCTCATTATGTAATTGCATACCTGCCAACATTTGAAAATAAGAATTAGGAATTTCAAGCATGGTATGCCTTCGAAATTAAGAAATCTGGCAATATGCGGTAAATCTGTACAAAAAAAAGCAAATTAAAATTCGCTGCTCGATCATGCAGCCATTCAACGCATGCAATACGTGACCTCTCGAATCATGGCACATGATAAAACGAGATTAATTCGGCTTTACGCACACATAAAAAAAAATTTAAAAAAAAAAATTTGTTGTTGTTGAAAAATCTTAATATTCCGAATTATCCGGAAGTGCTGGCAGGTATGTATTTGATTAAACAAAATTTGTTTTAACTTACCTTCTACTTCTTGGCAAAACTTATGTAGTTTGTGCATGGGGCAGGTTTCACAGATAATGTGCAGTTTGTTATGATGAAGGGCAGCATTGAAGGCCTGTCTCATTGTGTTCATTATACATTCAACCTGGAGAGTAAGGGTGAAAAATGACAAATATATAAATCCCATATAGATGATAGAACTCAGTTTTAAATTCAGCATTTGTAAACTAAGCTAAAAAAAAAAACTATTTCTTTTAGGTGAAAACTAGTATTTAAAATCATATTTTAACTAGATGGAATTTTGACTGCGTGCAGTCGAAAATGATGCCTCCGCCATAGAGCAATTTAAACAAGTTTGGAGTTTAAATCTCCAGTGGTTCTTGAGATATCATGATAACAATCTCAATGTATGGAATTTCATAAGTTGACCTCTGTGACCCTTGACCTTTGACCTACGTGCTCCAAAATCTAATCAGATTGTCTTCCTATGGTGATACACACTATCATTAAGTTTGAAGTTTAAATCTCCAGTGGTTCTTGAGATATTATGATATGGTGATACATACTATCATTAAGTTTGAAGTGAAAATTCTCCAGTGGTTCTTGAGATATCGCGATAACGATCTCAATGTATGGAATTTCATAAGTTGACCTCTGTGACCCTTGACCTTTGACCTACGTGCTCCAAAATCTAATCAGATTGTCTTCCTATGGTGATACACACTATCATTAAGTTTGAAGTTTAAATCTCCAGTGGTTCTTGAGATATTATGATAACAATCTCAATGTATGGAATTTCATAAGTTGACCTCTGTGACCCTTGACCTTTGACCTACGTGCTCCAAAATCTAATCAGATCGTCTTCCTATGGTGATACATACTATCCTTAAGTTTGAAGTTTTTACATCTCCAGTGGATCTTGAGATATCATGATAACAATCTCAATGTATGGAATTTCATAAGTTGACCTCTATGACCCTTGACCTTTGACCTACGTGCTCCAAAATCTAATCAGATTGTTTTCCTATAGTGATACACACTATCACTAAGTTTGAAGTTTAAATCTCCAGTGGTTCTTGAGATATCATGATAACAATCTCAATGTATGGAATTTCATAAGTTGACCTCTGTGACCCTTGACCTTTGACATACGTGCTCCAAAATCTAATCAGATCGTCTTCCTATGGTGATACATACTATCCTTAAGTTTGAAGTTTAAATCTCAAATGGTTCTTGAGATATCGCGCTAACAAACTCAATACAAGGAATTTCATAAGTTGACCTCTGTGACCTGTGACCTTTGTCCTACGTACTCCAAAATCTAATCAGATCGTCTTCCTATGGTGATAAATACTATTCCCGAGTCTTAAGTTTAAATCTTAAATGGTTCATGAGATATTGTGATAACGGTCAAACGGGACGGACGTACGGACGGACAACCCGAAAACATGATGCCTCCGGCACCACCTTCGGTGGCGGAGGCATAAAAATATTTTATGCACAACTATATTGCCTTTAATTAGGCTTATTCAATGAGGGGACTTTGTTAATTTTGCTCACACCTGTTTTTCCACAAAGCATGTTATTGTGTCTATGCTTATGTGCATGTCGGCTTTTCTTTGGAAAGGAAAATTAAGATCAACACCACTATATCAGGGGTATGTTGTTAATATTTACATCAATAAATCAACGTATCTACCTATTCTACTTTGCTATGTTGCACCTCAACATTGCATCACCGAAACTTAAAACACATCGCCAAATTGCTCATAGCCCCCCCCCCCCCCCCCAATAGCGCCCTCCGTGACCCTTGCGTCCGAGCGCTGCCAACGTAACCTCTTCCTCTTATCACGAGTTCCCTAGAACACACCTTGGTAAAGGCGCTGGGGATGGAGGGAGGGAAAATAGGTAGATACGTAGATTTATATCGTAAATAATAAATCAGTAATGATTTTCATGATTTACATCAATAAATCAACATATCTACGTATTCTACTTTGCTATAGACCAGCACAGATTAATGCCGGGTGGTAAAAACCAAGCAAACTTATCAATTTAATGAGAAATAGACGACGAAGCCGCCTTCAGAGAAGCGACTGCGAAGGCTCGTTCGCCCGCAGGCACATCTTTGAGGTAAAAAGCAGTAAAAGAACTTGGAGACTTCCAAAAAGCTGCCTTACAGATATCTCGAACTGAAACTCCGTTGAAAAGAGCCCAAGACGTACTGACACTGCGAGTATCATGAGCACGAGGAGTCCTGCCAGGCGTCAAGGCCTCAGGGCCCGCAGCCTTGATAGCCAGGACTAACCACCTGGAGATCGTATCCCGAGATGCCGCCGAATGTGGCTCTCGAGAAACCAGAAAGAGCTGATCCGACTTGCGAAAAAGCTTCGTCTCGTGAAGATACCGTTTGAGGGCGCGAACGGGACACCACAGCTTGTCCCCGGAGACCGAAGACAAATCCGACAAGGGATGGAGCACCACTTCCACTGAACCCGACGTGTCAGATTGATTCTTAGCAATAAAAGAAGCCTTGGTATTCAAACAAACCCCATGTCCTTCCCAGCGGATATGCCCAGGGGCAACTGAAAGGGCATGAAGTGAGCTCCTACGCTGACCAGAAGCGATTGCCATGAGAAAAACCGTCTTGATCGTAGTATGCAGAAGCGTCGCAGAACACAGCGGTTCGAAGGGAGGGCGTGCTAAAGCTTCCAAAACCTTGGGTAAACTCCACGCTGGCGTCAGAGGTCTGAAGAAGGGTCTCTTAAGGGAGAAAGACTTCAAAAGAGCCGCTAGCTGAGGAGCAGAGGAAACCGAAGAGATAAGAGGAAGAGGTTACGTTGGCAGCGCTCGGACGCAAGGGTCACGGAGGGCGCTATTGGGGGGGGGGGGGTATGAGCAATTTGGCGATGTGTTTTAAGTTTCGGTGATGCAATGTTGAGGTGCAACATAGCAAAGTAGAATAGGTAGATACGTTGATTTATTGATGTAAATATTAACAACATACCCCCTGATATAGTGGTGTTGATCTTAATTTTCCTTTCCAAAGAAAAGCCGACATGCACATAAGCATAGACACAATAACATGCTTTGTGGAAAAACAGGTGTGAGCAAAATTAACAAAGTCCCCTCATTGAATAAGCCTAATTAAAGGCTAGGTGAAAGAAAGTAGCCACAGAACACCAAGCAAAACAAAACCATTGGCATGGCTGTTCCTATGGTTTTAATCATTATTGATAACTTCCTTAAAATAGGATGTACTTGACGTAGTTTGGATCATGACTTAACCTCTGTAAATCCTTCTGTAAGGCAAGAATATCGTAAAGTGAGAAATAGCATACCGGGAAAGACACCATGATGTTGTGGAGTATACATGTACCTTTTGCAGGCTTAAAATAAACATCTGCTACAGAGTACAATGGTATGGATTAGAAACTACTTTAAAGGCCTCCTTGCAAAATATTGGAAAAGATTTCTTTATGAAATTATACTCACCATAATTATTGGAGGACTGCAAAACATATCTAGTTTTAATACGAACATGCAAGTATAACATACCGTACCCACACCAAATGTGATGTTTGAAAATTTGATGAAATTTAAAATGAAATTATATGTAGTTAACAAAACATTTTATCATTCCATTAATACTAATCATCTCTAAAAATAGTAATGCTTTAAATAATCTCGATGAATAGTAAATTGGAATATATTAAAATTTGATTAATTGATTTTAAAATATGAATTTAAGTATGGGTATGACATAGAAGTAAACAATGTGACATAGTGACATAAATGATCATGATCATGATCATGATCATTTTGTAATATGGTTTATGTACCTTTATAAACAAAATATTGATTTGGATCTGTCTGTTGGTATGTCCTGTTCCTCCCTCCCTCCCTCCCTCCCTACCATTCCTGGTGCTTGATTGAGGTGCTGTATCATTGTAGGGACAAGTGATAGGTAACCGGATCCAGCCTGTGGCAGGGGAGGGGGCCTAAGAGGGGGCCCAATTCGTGAGAAAGTATTTAGCAGCGAAACAGCCAGCCAGTGACTAAGCTGGGGGGGGGGGGGGTTAGTGAGCACTTCTTTTTTTTTCCTCAAAAATTTGAAAATCGCACCCCCCCCCCCTTGAGCGCCAGGGGAGGGGGGCCCCTTCTCCAAATAAAGGTAAAATTAACTTTTTTTTCACCTTTTCCCCCCCCCCCCCAGGGGAGCCCGGGCCCCCTCCCAGGATCTGCAACTGACCGGATGATAGTGGTGATGCCCCCCTCTGTCCCCCTTTCTTTCTCTGTTCCCCTCCCTTCCTGCCTCCCCCTTTTCCACTCTTAACTTCCCTCCTACTTACAAATTGCATAAAGATCTATATAATCACATGGACAACACTCTCCTTCTATCTCATAATAACAGTGATCATTAACAGGGTGAATATTGAATATATTCAGACATTGGTCAATTCAAACATCTAAAACCTCGCACTCAAAGGCTCCATGGTTCTGCCATTCACACATTTCCCTGTGTTTGGGGCACTCTCCCCACTGATCTGAGGACTAATGTTGTGCTATTATCTGATCATACCTGGCTCTCAAATCTTAAAGAGCAATTTCTCAGTGTAGGTTAAATCTGCAGTTCTGTTTCTAATTGGCAAAGCAGGATCACGACATATATGTGTCTTTTCATAATTTCATAATTTGTCAATATTATGCTTATGGTCTGTGTATATATCTCCAGTTAACTGACCCTGATGTAATTCTTTACTTGTTATGTACATAAACCCATTTTTGGGTGGTCACCACTCTAACATGGTCCGAGTTGTTGCACTTATCATGACTTTCAATTCAATTCAATTCAATCAAGGTTTATCAAAGACATGGTTGCAGTCATAGAAGACTCTGCTGAGTGTCTACTTATCTAAGCGTCCACGTCGCGGGGCTGGAAACTGGACATCGTCCTGAGCTAATTCTACCACCACCATCATCCATCCATCTCATCTACTCTTACCAGCAAGTAAATATTATCTAATAATGGCTCCCACTGATTGTCGCCGGAAGCATGCATCCTCTTCAGGACGGAAGGTAACAGTGATGTCCATCAACACTGAGGGGTTTTCAACAGCGAAACAACAACTCATTGGAAAGCTC